GGCAGCCCATGGTATTTTCAGTATTCTTCGCCAACATCACAATTCAAATGCATTAATTCTTCTTTGATCCTCCTTATTCATACTCCAGGTTTCACATTAAAAATACCATGGCTTGGGTCAGGCGCACCTTAGTCTTCAAAGTAACATCTTTGTTCTTTAGCACTTTATAGAGGTCTTTTGCAGCAGATTTGCCCAGTCCGATATATCACCTAGCACATAGTAGGTGATTTCATCAGCTGTCTTCAGCTTGATTCCAACTCATGGCAATCCCATGTGAGTCAGACTAGAACTGTGATCAATAGCTTTTAGTGGCTGATTTAGAAGCAGATCCTCAGACCTGCCTTCCAAGGTCCTCTGGGTAGATTTGAACTTCCAACCTTTTAGTTAGTTAATAGCCAAGTACTTTAACTGTTTGTACCAACCAGGGACTCCAATATGCTTCAGAAAGTCCTTATTAATGATTTAATAAATGGTTGGCTATATTTTCCTTCTTCACTATGAGTTCTCTCTTCCAGAAACTCTTCCCTGTGTGCAAAAATCAAGTACTCAAACCAATTGCTTTCCTTGTGTGCATCTCAAATTTTTGTGTTTTGAAATCTCAGAGCTGGAGGATTAGCATGTGTGTTTGTGGGGGTGGCTCTGTCTTGGGTCACCTTTGAGACCCTTCCTTTCCCTCCCTTTGCTCTTGTGGGAGGTGGGAATTCATCAGCCCCAATCTGAATGAGAGGCCTGAAGAAACAAATCAATGAGAGAGGGATTCCTATTTAGTTCCAGTACTATAGAGAGCACAACTGTTTCTTTGAAATTGACCTTCATTTATTTGGAGGGGAACGCAGTTAGTTCAATAATGGCTTCCTGGTGCCTTTCAGCATTTTAAAAGACGGAAGAAAGATTTTGAGTGAGGCAAGGTTCCAGTGTTTTCTAAACAAGTCACTTAGCCCAGCTACCAGTTGGCTGCCCAGGACTTCCTGCTCCTGTCTCCCTCTACTGCAATGCACATCCTTCAATATCCTAGCCACTTCTTGAGACCCTGACCAGGCCTCCCCCAGGCAGATGGGAGCAGGCCTTCATTATAATGCTGGGCAGCTGAAGATTCTCTTGGATATCTTGCTCATGGTCCATTGAGTACAAATGCTGCTATATTATATCCAATTATTTCCTGTCCCTCTCTGGCCTGATTCCAGGGGCCAAATAAAGAAGTCCTTGTTTGGTGGAGTCCATCCCTGCTGCCCAGTAAGTGAGAGCTGGTCATTGGCCCAACTTGGTCTGAGGCCACAAAGAAAGGGTGGAGAGAAGCTAGGGTGGGTGTTATAGGTAGTGAGGGCCCAGCAGGAGATGAGAGGCCTAGCTCTGCAGGCAGCATGACCATAGTCCTGAAAATAAAAATAAGAGAGGAAAGAAAACAAATGGGCCCTGAGCTATGGAGGCCATGCCTATTTTCTGTCCTTCCTAGGAGGAATACCAACCCTTCTCTCCCATGGAGAAAATAAACACAGCTATGGAAATCTCATGCCATCCAGGCACCTGGAAGTCTATCTCCATTGGGAAATTATTCCTACCTGCACTTCTCTGTTTGCCAAGCACTGTCTCCCCCAGCTCTGCTTTCTCCTTTTATGAGTGAAAAGCCTTTCATGGAAAATTTAAAATCTGGAACCTTTTTCAGATTCCAAAGGACTTAGGGTTCTACATTACGCTACATCTATTTGGTTCTATTTGGGTGTTACTTGAAATGAGGGAGGAGAAACACACATCTCTACTTTGCAGGGATGCTTTTTCTCAAATTAACTATTAAGAAAGCATTAATTAAACACCTTCTCTGTTTGAAAGCTCTTGGGTATTTTTACTATTTTTAAATTTTTTTCTGGTATGTTCCAATGATTTTCTTTTCTTAATTGTGATTTGGGTGAAAGTTTCTTTGGTATTTTTTAGAGTCTATAACAAACTCAAAGCAGTCCTATGTGTCTGGAGTTCATAGTCCTCACCTGGCAAGGGTTGGGTTTCCATGCAGGACAGATGTGGATGAAGTTGGCCTAGAGACAGCACATTGGGAGGTCTCTAGTAGACCATAACATGGTAGTCATGAGGTTTTCATTGAAAGGATAGCAGAGACAAGCCCTGATAGCATCAGGGTAGTAAGAGATCTTACTTCCTATGTGTAGAAACCAAGGATCTAAGATCCAGGAAGACAAGGGCTCAGAATGTTGTGGACAAAAGGAGGGAAGAAGTAGGGAGAATGTGAGTGAGAGTGTTGGGTTGGAAGAAAATGAGGAAGGCTTGACTACTTGAAGGAGTCCCTAGGTGGTATAAATGGCCAATGTGTTGGACTACTAACTGAAAAGCTGTACGTTTGAGTCTCTACAAAGGCACCTTGGAAGAAAGGCATAGGGATTTACTTACCAAAAATTAATCACTGAGAACTCTATGGAGATCTATTCTGACACAGATGGAGTCACCATGAGTTGGCATTGACCCAATGGCAACTGGTAGTTGTGGTGGCAATGATTTGAAGAGCAGGATCCAGAGAGAAGTCATATCATCCCACATCACTGTGTGGTTGGGGAAGGTCTAAGCTTTGCAGTATTTAAAATCCTGGCCTCCAGGATGCTGAAGTCTGAGGGAGCTGAGAGATCCTTTGATCAGTGATCCTGAAAGCCTGTCTGTGGACCACCTCTTCAATATGAGCTGCTGGGCTGATTAACATGCAGTTTTCTGGCATCCATCTGATTTACTAAATCAGATTCTTCATAGGTTTGAACTGCCAGCCTTCTGGTTAGCAGTCAAATGCCTTAGGCACTACACTACCAGAGGTCCCTTGGTTGGGCCAGAAAGCTACATTTTTATCAAAATTTGACAGGTGATTTTGACACTTACTGTAGTTTCACAGTCCAACCCTCTTTTCCTCCAGAAGTATAATCTGAAGCCCAGAGAGGTAAAGCAACAAGCTTAGGGTCACAGAGATAATTGATGGCAAAGCTGAAGTGAGAACTCTTGCTTTTGACTGCCTGAGTACTGGTTTTTCTAGTTCGACATCCTGGAAGCCTCCTCACCTGTTTGGAGCTCTGTCTCCTGCCCTCTACTGCCAAAGTCTGCTCCTTTGACCCATGCCTGCATCCTTCGGGGTCCTTGTCCTTCCTGAGGATGTTCTAGTCACAGCCTCTGCAGGCTGAAGAGTGAAGGCAGAAGGAAGAGACAGGAAGCACCTGGTTCTCTTCTGAGTCGTTAGTAATAGATGTGGGATTGGTAAATTAGTGGAGAAGGAGAAAACACAGGGCTGTACCCTGAGGGTGACTGAGGTTTGGTTTGCCATACTTTGTTAACGTTCATTGAGGCTTTGCTGTGTACCAGACACTGTGCTAAGTGCTTTCCATGCATCAGTGCAAACCCCATGAAGTGAATTATTAAGTAGGTCCATTTTGCAGATGGAAAAACTGAGGGTCACAGAGGAACAGTCATTTATCCAAGGTAACATGACTAGTAAGTGGCCAAATAATTTCTATGCACAACCACAAACTTTATAATGGCCCCAACACAGCATGAACTTTCATCTGTTTTAACCCCAACAAGCCTGTAAAAGGACACAGAAAGCTTGGGAAAGAAAAGGCAGCTTCTATGCAATGGCATTTGATCTCTCCTTGGGGGCAGAACTTCAAAGCCTTTCTACTTAACACCATTGAAAATATTTCAGAAAAGCATTAGCCTGTAAGCTTGCCTTAGAAAAGATGACATAGAGAGTAGGTTAAACAACCTCCTCCCCACCTTTTTAAAAAGGGAAACTCTTGATAATAATTTGCTTTCTTTTCATTTGACTCTTTCTCTTAAAAGCAGGTGTCTTCAGAATTCCAGTTACTTGAGGGATTTGTTCTATTCGGTTCTGACTGAGACCCTGGTGTGATTGCAGGTGTTAGTGGTTCAGGGCATGTAGCAGCTGTTGCTTCTCTCGATAACATGGCACATGACTGTGCCATGATCACTTCCCTCCATTCAGTTTCTGTGGTGTCCCCCACGGATATGAAAAGACATCAAAGCAGATCAGTGTCTCAGAGAAGGGACTAGGGCTTCCCAAGCCATGCCATGACACGGCAGCATGTCACAATACCCTCCTCTAGGTTTATCTTCTAGGCAGACCTTGGTTTCCTTGGAAGAAATCAGGGAATTTCTGAACCGTTCAGTAAGACCACTAAAGATGATAGACACACTTTTTATAGGAGGGAGAGAATCCACCTAATTCCATATTACCAGCATTTTGAATCTGCCAGTGGAAGGTGAGAGACAACTATAATTTAATTCTGAAGCATTCCATAAATCAACAGAGTTAGGAACATTTTTGGATGAAAACTGATAATGTGTGACCCTCTGGTCATTTTCTCTTTTAAATTTCCAGCTTTAAGTAACTTAAGGCTGGTGCAGTTGTGAAATGCTCTTATTAACTGATAACGAAGGGAGTGCATTGAGGTGGCAGCAAGCAAGGAGAGGGAGAATGCCACCTCTGCAAAGCTCTTGAGAAGCGTGGGTCTCTGCAAGAGCCCTGGAAATGCTGAATGAAAACCGCCTTTCTGTGTACTAGCTGCCTCTCTGCTTCCTTAATGCCGCGCCTGCAGTAACTACAAACTATTTTGTATGCTGCATTAGTGACGCTGCCTTAGCAGACATATCATTACTACTGAAAGAATGCTGGTGTGATGTTCAAGCCCAGTGTCCTTTTTAATTATTAAACCAAGGCCGCTGAGTGAGTCATCTAATACACCAGATTTTCTTCCCATGGTTCTATTTCAAGTGGCTAAGCACACCTCAGCGTGTTTCAGTAACACCTTAGTTGGTTCCTAGCCAGCTACCCAATCTGCAAAGCCTTTGCAGAACAAACAATATTATCCAATCTCTAAGCACACAGACTGCATTAAAAAAAAAAAAAAAAAAAGAACCACACTTAAAAAAACTTTAAACTCAGCAGTCAATCCAAGATACTCAAATGCCCATTTTCCCTCTGCCAGTTCTCAACTTACCAAGTGGTAGAGCGATGAAGAAGGGTAGCCAACACAAGATGAACATACCGACCACAATGCCCAAGGTCTTGGCTGCTTTCTTTTCCCTGGAGAATTTAAAAAGTTTGACAGCTATGGAACTCCTGGGGTTGTGGCCCTTGGCCTTGGTACTGCTGAGGGTGTCCTCATGAAAGTTCTTGGAGTGAATCCTCAGGGTCAGCTCCTTGGAGTTGGACATCTCCTTCATGACTCCAGCCTCCAGGTTCTTGGTGGTCCTCTTAGCAACGATGTAGACCCGGCAGTACATGACCAGAATGACTGCCAGAGGGATGTAGAAGGAGCCTAGTGAGGAAAAGAGGGCATAGAAGGGTTCTTCAGTGACCCCACATTCCTTGTCATCATTGGGCGCAGGTTCCTTCCATCCAAGAAGAGGCCCAATGGAGATGACCGTGGACAATACCCAGACACTTAGGAGGGCCAAGATGGCCTTCCTGCGGGTGACCAGCGTGGGGTACTGCAGAGAGTAGCGCACCCCAATGTAGCGATCAATGGAGATGGCGCATAGGCTTAGAATGGATGCTGTGCAGCACAGGACATCAACGGCTGCCCAGATATCACAGAAGATCCGCCCTAGCACCCAATAGCCAAGCACCTCCAGGGCAGCTGAGAAGGGGAGGACAGTGAAGCTTAACAGCAGATCGGCAATCGCCAGGTTGACGATGAAATAGTTGGTGGGGGTCCGTAGGTGCCGGTTGCAGGCCACAGACAAGATGACGAGGATGTTGCCCACGATGGCAAAGAGGATGAAGGCGCCCAGCACCAGGCCCACAGAGATGGCCCTGGTGATGTCCAGCTGGGGCAGTGTGGAGTTGCTCGAGGTCTGGTTGGGGCCAGTGAAGTTGGCATTTTTCAACTCTCCCCAGTGGGCAGGTGCTGATGTATTGTGGCCGGTGTCCAGATTGGGATTCATTTTAGAGTCCGCCCTCCATAGCCAGGGAGGTGATTGGGCTGGAAGGGCTGCGGTGACGGCTCCTCAGCTGCCCTGAAACTTTGCTGCCACCGTGGTCTGCTTCCCAGAGGCGCCCTTCTGGCGAGAAGTCATCTCCCCCGGGCAGCCCAGTCTAGCCGCACGTCTCTTGCCTGCACCGAGTCGCTCGCTCGCCGGCTCGCCTGTCAGAGGGAGGAGGATGAGAGGAGGAGAGAGGGGACAAGGCGGTAGCTCCAAGTTTAATGGTCCACGTCAGGCGCGCCGGGCCGGCCTGGCTGGGGAGCGCCGGGGAGGAGGGGGTAGCTCGGAGGGGGCGCCCGGCTCGGCCCGGCACGCGGCGGCTCTGCGGACAGAGGCGCCTCCTCCGCCCAGCGCCGAGGAGGGTCTGCTTTCAATGAGCCGCCTCTGGGCTGACTGCACGGCGGTGACATCAGGCGGGGGAGCCCGGCGCCCTGACTCCACGAGGCACTAGGGGGCAATGCGGCTCCAGCCAAGGCGCCGCAGCCCCGACGCCGCTGGCCTGGTCGGCAGGAGGCGGGCCGCGCCCCGCCGCCCCTAGGGCAAGCCCTTTGGGGGTGGAGGAGGGATTTGGGCGTGGGGATCCCCTCTCCTCACCCCAAGGTGGCCTGCTGGGATTATTTTCCCTTCTTCGGTTTCACTCTTCGGTTTCAAAAGGGGCATAGCGGTTGAGGATGCTTACCTCTAATAGGGGACACCTAGAGTAAGCCCCCAGATTTAGGGAGACATACAACTTTTCTGGCACCTATAAAAAAGAGGAAGAGCTCTGGTAGCATAGTGCCTAAGGCACGTGACTGCTAACCAGAAGGCTGGCGGTTCAAACCCACCAGCCACTCCTCGGAAGGAAGGTTGGGCAATCCTACTTCCGTAGTGATACTGCCTCGGAAACCCAAGGAGGGGTCGCTATGAGTCGGGCCGACTCGATGGCAAATAACAACAACAACAACAACATAAGAAAGAGGAAGCATTCCAGGGTTAGACAAGAGAGATGGATTTGAATCTGAGCTGAAAGCAATCGCCACTCCTTTCTTCCCACCTGAAACCTCTCTGTCCTCAAAATAAAACTTTGAGCCTTTCTGGTTGGTTGGTTGGTTGGTTGCTTCATTCATTCATTCACCGACTCATCTGTTCATTAACAGATTATTGTTACTGAGTCCGCACTGCATGCCAAAGGTCCTGTTCTAGGTACTGTGGGCGTATAACAATTGAAGAAAATAGACATCTGCCCTTGAAGAGCTTAATTCTAGTGGGAGGAGACAGACAAATAAATTAGCAAAATATGAGGTGTGTCCATAATGATGGGTGCCACAAAGAAAATAAATCAGGTGGGGGAAAATGGAGCATTGTGTGTGGGGAAAACCGACATTTTAAAAGGGGGTGCGCAGGATGTCTTGGAAGTGATATTTGAGTCAACATCTGAAGATGTGGTCAGAGTGAGTTAGCTACCTGAGGGTCGGGTTGAGGATCGGTCAGAGACCCACAGACATCAGTGGAAGGGACTTGGGCCATCTTGGCTATTTGTTGTTGTTTTTTTCCTTTATGATTGATATCCATGTTGCACCTCCATTCAACTACAAGGTCACATTCCCAGAGGCAGGTGAATGATACTTGGGAAAGAAGGTTGCCAGTTGCTGCCTAGTCCACTCTGACTTGTGGTGACTCCATGTGTGTCAAAGTAGAACTGTGCTCCACAGAGTCTTCAATGACTAATTTTTTTTGGAAGTAGATGGCTTGAATTTTCTTTCAAGGTGCTTTGGGGAAGACTTTCAAACCTTCAACATTTTCATTAGCATGTGAGTGACTTGACTGTTTGCTTCACCCAGGACTCCTAGAAAAGAAGGTATGGCTCAAAAAGCAGATGAAGAGCCTTAGGTCAGTTAACAATTATTCAACACTTCTTAAGTCCCAGACACTGTGCTAAGTTCCTATTGTACCCTCAAGACCCTATAAAAGAGAGACCTATTATTATCATCATTTCCATTTTGTGGATGTTGTTGTTATGTGCCGTCAAGTCAGACCCAACTCATAGCGACCCCCCTTTGGGTTTCCAAGGCAGTATCACTATGGAAGTAGATTGCCCAACCTTCCTTCTGAGGGGTGGCTGGTGGGTTTGAACCACCAGCCTTCTGGTTAGCACTCAAGTACCTTAGGCACTATGCTACCAGAGCTCCAAAATTAAGGAAATTTAACTCTTTGTCTAAGTCCACACAGCCACCAAGTAGAGCAGCTGGGAATTGAACTCAACTGCAGATCTATTCCAAGAAGCTCTGGTGGCCCTGTGGTTAAAGCATTGGGCTGCTAATCAAAAGGTTGGTGGTTTGAACCCATCAGCCACTTCATGGGAAAAACATGAGGCAATCTGCTTTTGTAAAGATTTACAGCCTTTGAAACCCTACGGGGGGAGTTCAGCTCTGTCTTATAGTTGGGATGCACTCAATGTCAGTGGGTTTTTTTGTTTTGGCAAATCTTTTCCAAAGTTGTATATGTAAACTCCATGCCATTTTTTCCCCCTAGGAGCAAGGTAAAGGATGGAATGACTTACACATTGAAATAGTAAATTTTGGGGCCCAGAGTACTGATGGGAGGGAGGTCACATTTACTGAAATCCTACTGATAGCTGAGCATCTGTTCATTTTCTTTTACTCTTCACAATAATCCTTTGAGAAAAGCATAGCCATTCTCCATTGATAGCTGAGAAAACTGTAGTTCAGAGAAAGTTACTACATTCCTGAGGTCAATGGCTAATAGACATGTGGCAAAGCAACGTACAATGACAGTGGGAGATGGAAAAATAAAGCCCAGTCCTTCCCCTACTCCTGTCCCCAAGCCTACATCTTGGTCTTCCAGCAGACTGCCCTGGGCTGACCTTTGCAATTCCTATCACCTGAAATTCAGGGGTGGAAATGAGAGACCACTCGGGGTGATTTACAACTAAAGTCCTCAATCTAGATTATGGAACCTCTTTTTTATTTGGAGGGAGGCAGGTGGTTATCATGCATCTATTTAAAATTTTGATGAAAGTACATATCTTCTCCTACCAAAATACACAAACTCCAAAATGCCCCAAATTTACAATTTCAAATTCTCTAAGGTTAAAAAATCTTGTGGTAGAAACAGATTTGAAACAGATTTTTTTTTTCCTTTTCTATTTCAGACTGGCTAAAGTTGTATTTGAAGATTTTAAAACAAGAGATTCACAGGTTTATAGTCATTTAGATCTTCAAGAGCTCTTAGAACCCTAGCTTGATCATATTCCCATTTGGAGGTGGCTCAGGAGGCAAAGGGAATTGGCAAGTTAACAGACATCAGGTGTGGAGCTAGTTATCAGACTTGGTTTCCCTGGCTCAAAGACCAGTCCTCCTTCCTCTGCCACAAGGAGAAGCCATCCATGAGACCAAGAGTTCTTAAACAATGTGATTTGAGAGCAGAAAAACTCAGACAGCCTTCTCCCAGGAGTCTTAATGAAGAGATTGTCCTTTGTGCTGGACAGAGACAGGGGCCTGGACCAGAATGATCTTTGAGATCCTCTATCTAGCTCCAAGTTTCAGGGGAGCTTCCAGACCAAGATGGACTAGGAAGAAAGGTCTGTCAATCTATTTTCAAAAATCAACCATTGAAAACCATATGGATTATAACAGTCTGACTTACAATCATAGTGATGGTGCAGGACTAGGTAGTGGTTTGTGGCATTGTGCATGGAACTACCAGGAATAAACTCCAGGTAGTTTAGCTTCTTATACTGGACAAAGAAGCCCTTGTGGGGAACTTAGGAGCTCTGGTGTCATAATGGTTAAAGGATTTGTCTAGTAACCTAAAGGTCAGAAGTTTGAACCCACCAGTTGCTCTGCAGGAGAAAGATGTGGCAGTCTGCTTCTGTAAAGATTTAAAGGCTTGGAAACTTTATGGGGCAGTTCTACTCTGTCCTATAGCATCACTCTGAGTCAGAATTGTCTCAATGACAGTGGGTATGTTTTTTGGTAGACAACCTCTATGCCCATCTCACCATCCTGTCTCTCATAAATCTTCCCCAGTGGAGTAGGGAATGGGTGACATAGACTCAGTTCTCACCATTTCTGTATATCTTCAAGTCTAGGATAATGACAATTGAACTGGTTACTCTCAAGGGGAAGTGATAGGAGAAAGAGAATGCCAGTAAATTGGCACAAAACTGGTGATTAGCAGAAAGACAGGGATGTGGGGAGGGGGAGGATGGGGCAGAATGAAGAGCAAGTTCTAGTCCACATTTTGATGGTGGTGGCCCATTTCCCACTTCCCTGGGCATTAATTTCACCAGCTATTGAACAGCTAACAACACACCACTGAATTTATAGAGGCTGTGTCTACATAATCACAGCAACCAGCTGCAGTGTGAAAACTCAGCCCATCAGACATTTTTCTATGGTGACAAAAGGCCAGGAGAAAGATAAAAAGAGCAAAGCTAAGATACAGAGTTGGTTTATGTTTGTTATGAAAGAGAATAGTTGGTTACCTGGATGAGAGTTTATGTCTTGATTCAGGTGTCCAGATGTTGAAAGAGGCTGTTGAGCTGAATTTAAATGTTTAAAATCTCTGCAGGTTTCAGACATGTTGTCATTTACTGGTGCCTTTCATGGAGACAAAACAAGCATCCCACCATAAGGCAAAACAGGTATTAGCCTTAATAGCAGTCATGCACCAGGACCCTACCAAGGAACCTTTGCTATTGGTCCTTTTATTGCTGCTCTTTCCCTTCTGTCACTGGAGATGCCTCTTAACCCCTCTGGCTGATATCTGACCCATGGAATTGACCATTTGTTTAGGTGTCATGAGGATACAGATGATATTTCATTTTCTCGGTATTCCCTGGGGCAAAGCCAAGCACAGAGCTCTGACTCATTTCAGGCTTGGGGAAGAAGAACCTTTTCATTATCCATCTGATTACATTAGAAACCTCTGATGTTGCAAGCTCCCATTTCTATCAGCCCTCTAGGAGAAGCTACCACTGAGTTTGACCTGTAGGGAAACTGAGGCTATGGGAGGCTTAGGCATCTGCTTAGCAGATCCAAAGGAGGAAGTCTCTCACCTGTCATACAGTTTTGTGCCATTA